CAAACGAGATTCCGTCACACTTCTAAGGAAACAGCACAAAATTCCTACTGCTCGGAATATAATCGAGTACCGATCAGCACACTACCTTCACAGGTTATGCCGAAATGATGCCCCAGCTTTCACGCATATAAGATTCCCAAATTCTGAATTCCGCTATAACCATCGAACTGGAATATTATTGTTCCCTTTAACATGAAAAACTGATTTCCTTCGTAAGTCTTTCTTATTTACATCAATCAGAAACCTTAACACAATAATCCGAACCTTGTTTAATCGAAAACTACCGGACACATTGACAAAAACTCTGATTAAAAATTTCATCAAAATAAAAGATGACACCCTGTTACCCAATAAAGAGAGTCTTTCCGCATCCAAGGACATTTATCAGTTAAATCAATTATTTGATTCGTCCTCGTAGTAATTTATGTTTTTTCTTGTTATGTTATATAACCATTGCGTAATATTGTACACTAGATTCTTATACAATCAGTTCTGCAACTGCATAAGTATATTGAAACAATAAAGTGTCCCCCCTCTCTCTCTCTCTCTCTCTCTGTTTAAATTTGTACTCCATTAAAGATTTTCCAAAAAATTCTCAGTGTAGAGGAAAATCTGCCTAAAATTTTTGATTTTTTGTCTACTTTCGAGTAAATACAGCAAGCGAGCAGGCCCATAATACAAAAAAGAGGTAAAAAATCATTTTAAAACAAAAATACTAATTTGAATCATTTATTTTATCTCCTTCTTGACAAACAAATCATCTTTTTAAAAAACCTGCTAACATTTGAAAAAAAAAACTTTTTAAATCTTTTTAGAAATTTCAATTTTTTTTCGATTAATAATTGTTGTTGAACTTTCTATATGCTATTTGTACTCTTACTACCGATTGTACTTATTTTGTAGGTTTTTTTCAGATCTGCTCATAGTCGAACAACACAATTTGAAAAAAAAAATATTCAATGCTCCGAACGTTCTGTGCAACTGTAAATGTGATCGGAGTATTAAGAAACCATCTAGTCATCATATTATTGTTGTTAACTTCATTAATTATCCGCTGAAACTTTTCCAAACACTGCTTTTTCCACCCATACTTGAATAGCAGGAGAAAAAATTTATTACAATAGAAAAAAATCAAAATTATTTCCCTGAAGGGTTATAAATTAAAGTCTGGAGCCTCAAAGGGATATTCAATCCATTCTAACTCACATTTTTTAAGTTTCAATCATTTATAAACCATTTGAATTTATTAAATTGGATTGTAATGTGTATATAATTGAGCAAAATTATTAGCAACATTTGCACAATTTACTCTGTTACTTACGGCCTACTCGATTTGTAAACCTATTCAAGGTGGTACAACTTTCGCAGAACCACATCTCCCAATTTTTTAACAGCAACTGAACATCTAATTTCACCTATTATACTTACCCCAACCCCCCTCACACTCGCACACAATCCCAAACTTACCTCCATCTTCAGACTCACCCTCAATCTTCCCTCCGCCTTATTCCATTTACTACCGCCTTTTGCCGCTACCCATTTCCAATTCTTCTCCCATAATTACTCCCGACCAACTTAACCTCAGTTTAACACCTTCCCAAAAGCAATTAAATACTCCCCTTTTCCCTCACACTTACGCCCGTACCCAGTAAGTGATCTAATTAGGGTCTGAAATAGTCCGTTTCAGATCCAAATTTCAGATCACAAATAAGTTGTTCAGTGTTAAAATAACGCTTGGATATTTTAAGAATGTGTCATTTCAGATCTGAAAATTTGATTTTCTTGGTTATCTTAAATCTGAAAATTCAATTTTTAAAACAATTTTTGCTATCCTGTGTATTTTATAGCCTTTGCTAGCTGCTATCAGTTACTCAGCAAAGTCTTCCTTTGGAGACTGCTGTAATATGTATCTCAAAGCATTGGCATAAACATCGAAAAGGCATAAGTAGCTCGTGCAAATCAAAACTTTGATAGATCTTCTAATAGTTTTTGAAAACTTTTTGAAACAGTTGGACAACAAACTTAATTTGAAAAAAAAAACGGAAGTTGATTTGAAAAAAACTTTATTCGGAAGTTGTTTTTACAGCTAATTAATCAAAACTCAGTTAACTGATGCAGAACAAGAAAAAACAAAACTCAATTGTTTTTTCAAAATGCATATATTATAATTTAACAAAAGGTTTTTCAGATCTACATCAATTTCCGATCTGAAACTTTCTTTTTCGATCTGAAATTTTCAAAATCTTGTCCAGATCTGAAAAAAAAAACGAATTTCAGATGTGAGAAACAACTTAAACCAGAATCAAAGATTTGCAGATCTTTTATAGAAAATCCGCTGTGTACGGGCGCACAGCCAACTCTTCAATGTGTTGATATTTAAACAGTGGCGTGATCAGAAATTTTTCTGGGGGGGGGGGTAGCGGTTTTTCATAAAAAGTTTGAAATTTTCGTCGACCTTTTTTTTATGGTCGACCAATTTGATTTTCCGAGCTCTCATAAAACAGTATAAGGACCGTAGTTTTTGAAAAATTTTCTACGCCGCAGACAAATTTATCAGAAATCAGGCCAAAAAGCAAAAGGCACTTTTTGGAAAACTTTGAACAAAAAAATGGTGTTTTTTTTCGCGCGCTTCACTCTCAAAATTAGTCTTATTGGCGCCAAAGGCGCCTTTAGAACAATTTTGAGGCATTTCACCGAAAAATGGATACCATAAAGTTATACCAAAAGGGGACCCTTTGGAAAATTTTGGCAGCCAATATTGAAGGGAAAGCGGTCATGTGTGTGTTTGGGGGAGAAGGTTCAAATTTAACGGCTAAGTAATGGGCGGGTTTAACTTAAGTATGGAGTAAACAAAAGAGTGGGGTAGGGGTAAACTATAATCAAAATAACAGTGAAGTTGTAAAGAGAAATACTCAAAACCAGGTAAAACTTTCTTATATTCATGCCAAAAGTTAGGTATTAACTGATAGGGATAAAAAAAAGTTAAGGTGAACTTGCAAACATTATTATTCGTTATAATCGAATCTGATCGATTTTAATGGAACTTGAAACTGTATTAAAACTGCTTAAAAAACTGCAAAAAATGCGGTGCAATCAATTAAGAGATATAAAGATCAAATTAGAAACGCTTTCCTTATTTCTATGAAATTCCTCGCCCTCACAGAGTTTCAGATCCAAAAAGTTCAGTGAACATGACAAATTGGCAAAAAAAAATTGTTTTTCTTTTTCGAGTTGTTATTGAAAACTCGCACTGACCATCACGATCTGTACTCATTGTTTGAAGGTTTAGGCAAAATTTCGCAGCCCAAAAACTCAACCAACAAAGTTCATGAAGGTCTCGAAGGACAAAAAACAACTTCTTTACAAACTCTTTGTGCATTTTTTCTTCAATTTTAATAGCTAAAGATATTGGTTCTTTCTCTAGTAGATGAAGGGAAGTAAAATCCCCTGTAGAACGTTAACGACATTTGTTTCAACCTTAAGCTGGCCAACCGTAACTTTTTTCTGGGGGCGCATTTAATGCCAGCATAGATCAATTTTTAAGTGCCTGCACACGTCGAAGAACAACCTAAAATCTACCATAGCCTATAATATGGCAGTTTTTGCCAAACACCTCAAAAAATTGTCAATGGCGCAGAAATTTTTGCCTAAATTAGATTTTTTCAGTGTCTAAGGAGAACTTGGAAAAATAAATTTATAGATTTTAAGCACTACGAGGTCAAACTGTGCTATTTGTGAATTGTAAGCGGATTCCGCAAAAGGCCAAAATCAGATTTGTCGCGGAATCTGCAACATTGTTACTTTTCGTTAATCTTCTTTACTGTCTTTGATTCCACACACACAAATAGCAAAAACACTCTACTGTTCAAAATCACTCGAAAAATAGCGAATTTGCGGATTCCGCAACCGTATTTGTGGAATCCGGAACAGTTTGTGTAATCCACAAACAAATAATAAAATGTAGGTATAAAAAAGAAGCTTGTATTGAACCCGTAACAGTATGCGGAATCCGCAACTTGTAAGCGGAATCCACAAATTGTTAGCGGTTGTGAAGGCAGATAGAATAAAAGCTAGTCTGTAGCAATGGTTTTATAACGATTAAAAAATTTCCGCTGAACCATCTCATCTCAATTACTGATGATTTGAAAACCCCTTCACTAAACTTCCGAACCATCTCATCTCCAATACTTTTGATTCGAAATCTCCTCCAATAAACCGCTGAGCTATCTCATCTTGAACACTGATGATTCGAAATCTCCTCCTATAAACCTCTGAACCATCTCAAATACTGATGATATTTCTGACCCAAAGATTGAACCATTAATGATTTCATTGTGTTTTTCATGGTGATTGTGTTTTTCAAATCGCGAAAATATGAAAAAAATTATTAGAGAAAGTTTTCTGGGTGATCAATACTTAATGCTGACACCCACTGATTTGGTTAACCAATGTTTTAAGTTTTGTTCGTGAACTCCGCTGACAATGGTTATTTCCTTGCTTTTAAATTCCGCATTGCTATAGATAATAATTCCAGCTCTAGCTTTTAATTGTTCATATGCACGCTCAGTAATAAAGAAAAATGCGGAATCCTTTTACAATTTGCGGAATCGGCTAACAGATTTTACGGATTCTACTTAAATTTGTGGATTCCACTTACACTTTGCGGAATCCACTTACATTTGCGGAATCCAGAACAACTACCTATATTCGCTCGTTTCGGAATCCGCAGCAATACAAACGCGCCTACAGTTATTTGTCCGCGGAATCCACGAAGCTTTTGTAAGTGGAATCCGCTAACATTTTAGAACATGTTTAAAGATCTGTCTCTTGAATCCAGGAAAATACAGACACAAAATTGTGCGCCTGTCCAGTGCACAGTTTGGACTCGTAATGAGAATTAAAAAAGGGCCATCCCCCTTCTTCCTCGAGAAAATCCTAGATTCCAATTCTTGCGATTATCCGCGATTTTTATCTAGTGAGTCTAAATAAGTGACACCGACCAGGTTCTGTGTGTTGACCATCTGAACCGCTTCGTTTCTGGTTCTGTCCTTCACGAGGAAACTGAGCAACTCATCCACTATCTCAAGTCTGCAGTACCTCACAGCAATGTGCAGTGCATTCTCCCCATTCTGAAACAATAATTGGGCTACATTTTGTGCTGGTTTTTTTTTCTTTTTACTCCAGTTTTTGATTTTCTATTGGGCTAGTTTTTGGGCTGGTTTTGTTTTTCATTTAACTCCAGTTTTTGAATTTCTATGGGCTAGTTTTTGGACTGGTTTTGGTTTTATTTTGATCTAGTTTTTGCGCTAGTCAAGATTGTAAATGGAACTAATTTTGTTTTATTTTAATGTAGTTTTTTTCCTGTCATTATCGAAAAGTGGTAGAGAACTATTGCCTATAGTTCGACTAAACTTTTCCTTTCAATTTTAGGTACCTTAAAGAATCTCCGATATTCGCGTTTGTGAACGATTGCAAAAAAACCCTACGTCATTAACACTCTTTTTTCATGCTAGTCCCGTGTAATTCCATGCCATTTTAACTTATTAGATTTTTGATGAAATCGAAAATCTAGTAAGTTAAAACACGTGACTCTGAGTTTATAAAGTGAAAAATGCCGTAATTTTTTTGTTCATGCAAGGCACGGTTTTTAAATTTTCTTGTATCTTGTTGTGCTGGGTGTTTGTTCAAAGCTCCCTGTTTTTTGTTTTTCTGCTAATTCGTTTCCGAGAAAACTAGAGGTGGATTTCGAGGCACACTGTGTTTCATTGTCTGCTCTACCTAGAAGATGACTGACCTCAGATAAAGTTCACTGACCTTTGAAAGATAAGTGGGATCTGCCCCATCTTGTAGGAGGAAGGAGACTATTTTGAAGCGTCCGTGTCTGGCTGCAATGTGCAGAGCTGTCTCCCCGTTCTCCTGAACTGCATTCACATTCGCACCTGCAACAAAATACAACAAAGTCGTGTTTTGTTCCATAGAGTATTTGATATATATCTGGGTTAATGATTCATGACTGTCCATTCCTTCCCCGGGGAAACATCATTTAAAAGTTGAATGATTTGCATAAGGTTCCCAGTCCTGGTTTCATGCGGTTTCTTACTAATAGTAAAATTCCTGGACTTTACCAGGCCAAGTTTTTAGTGAAATTTTTGAGATCGAAATTTGGCGTTCTGTATCCTAATTAACCCCAACGTTATAAAAGTGGGGCGGAGGGGGGGGATTTTACATTTTTTCCAAATTACGTAGGTTCAATCAATTTGAATTCGTCTGAGTGTACCTGACTTGAGAAGCATTTCAGCCACTGAGTCTCCATTTTTGATCCTGGCCGCAATGTGAAGAGGAGTCTCCCCTGCCTTGCCCCCCTTCAGTTTAGTATCTGCCCCATAACCCAGCAGCGCCTGAATATTCAAAAGGTATTGTATCGATCTCTATTGTCATTCGAACCTCTAGGAATGACGGCTTGATAGTTTTTTTTGATAGTCTGGGTTCTTGAGATTAATGCAGTTTTAGTGCATGCTAATTACTTGTTAAAATTAGTAATATAAAATCTGTATTATATTATATCTGTATATCTTGAAGTTTTTTATTGATATCTTTCCCGATTTAGAATGCAATTTATATGAAATGAAACAATAATTTTCCGGAGAAAAAGCAATACTTTTCTAGAAATTGAAATAGTAGTTTTTTCGTATCATAAAAAGTTAAGAGTAGTTGACTCACCTGTACAACTCCTGGTCTGCAGTACCTGACTGCGAGATGGAGTGAGGTGTAGTTGTCCTTGTCTCTGGCATCTATCACTGCCCCCTTCTGAGCCAGAGCCCGGATCACTTGCACGTGACCCTGCATGGCTGCCGCGTGAAAACAAAGAGCACCCGCCTGAAATAAACAGGAACGACATTATTTCTGGGTAGCAGCCGTGAGTTGTTTTAGTTCTCCCATTCTCAGACAGGAGGTTATTGGTTCGAGGCCAACCATGGTCCCTGTATATTAGTAGCGATTGCGACAAGAAAACTTCCCATTCCAGAAAACTACCCAAAAAAGTTGGTTTTAACCATTGACACGGTATCCCTTTGGCTTAATGAACCTTAAACAGAAGGTGGTCCTTTTGACAATGATTTATCTGTTACATCTATTTTTTATGACGATTTATCCACAATGGAAGGGACCAACCTTTCTGAAAACATTCAAAAAGGGCCATGAACTACTTCAGTCCATAATGTAATTGAGTGTTGTCATTCCAGTGGACTGAATGGCCTTACCTTATTTGGCATGTGTAGTGGGACTCCCTTCTTGAGGAACATGAGGGCGGTGTCCGGGTGGCCACACTGGGACGCAATGTGCATCAGGGTACTACCGTCCTAAATAAATTGACACACATCACAGAAACATAAATGCTTAAATGAATTCACTCGTACATTTTGTGTAATATAGTTAACACTCAGTTGAAAAAAAAAATAAACAAACTGAAAGGAAACCAAATTTTCTAGAAGTTCACAGAAAAAATTATAGCCTCTTGAACTTTTTTCGAATATTTAAGATCTTCTAGCTTTGATAATTTGATGATAAAACTGATGCAGTTTGAGAAAAAAATTGATCTAACGGCAAGTTTTTTATTCCTCAGAAAACACTACATTTTAAAAAGCATTTTAAACTGAAAGTCAAGCTGAACAGGGGCGGATCTAGAATTTTCTCGATGGGCAGATTTTTAAAAAACTTTCGAAAATTTTGTCGACCTTTTTTTAGGGATCGACCAAATTGATTTTCCGAGCTCTCCCAAAGCACGCTCCCCCCTCAAAATTAGTATAAATATTGGCGCCAAAGACGCCTTTAAAAAAAATTTTTATGATCTTTAGAAAAAAGTTTCTAAGAAAAAGGTAAGAAACGAGAAATGAATGCTAGAGATTAGTTGCTCTTATTGTTGCGCTTTTTGATTCGGATTTTTTGCTTGAAATATTTGGTCTTCACCATCAAAATGGCCGAAAATAATTCAAAAAATTACGTTGATTTATTGAAAAATCTTCCCCCAGATTCCAATATTGACCCTAAATTAATGATTCCTATTATCACTAGCCTTTTGGCAAGAGTTGATTCTCTTGAAAATGTATTAAATGAAAGAACCCAGGAAATAATTGACTTAAAAAACAATGTTTTTGATCTCGAAAAGCGAGTAAATTTCCAGGAAAGATATTCGAGTAAAGATTGCTTAGTTTTTTCGAATTTTGATATCAACCCATACTCCCCCAACCTTATTTCCGACATGTGAAACCTACTTTACCATTACTTGGGTGGCTATGTGTTATCACCGGGAGCTATCAAGGCATGTCATCCTCTTCCGACGCGCAAGGATTCTGGTAAGAATGTTCCAATCATTTTGAAATTTGTCTATTTTTCGGACAAAGATGAGATTTTCGGAAGGAGGCGTATGTTATCTGGGCAGAAGGGTGTACAGGGAAAAAGTTTGTTCATAAATGAACGTTTGCCGAAATCAGACATGGAAATTAAAAGAAAAGGCAATAACATGAATCTTATTACAACGACTCATAACTGCCAAGTGAAAGTTTTTTGCCAACGACCAATTGGCTCATTTTATTCCCAAAGTGTAAATAGTCTTGCTGGAGTGGAACAACTAGCTAAAATTGCAGCCAAAAAACAGATCAGTCAAAACCGGCCAAGACCTCACAACTATCCTCAAACAGTTCACAAAAGCTTCATTACTGGGCGCCATACTGGTGCTCAACTAAATACCAATTCAACTCCTGGTATTTCGAGGAGATGGTCAGAGAGGAATTTATCGCCAGAAATATTGAATATTGATAATCAGGCCTCGAAGAAATTAAATTTTGAAAATGAATCAGAAGCGCTCAATATAGAAAAAACTGTAACAGAGGACGTTAGCAAATAAATTCAATCATCCTGACTGAAGTTCTATTTTTTTTTTGAAATGGAGAGAAATGTAGAAGAACGTCATATGGGCGACTTAAAAGACAGTTTTTTGTATTTTTTGAATATAAGGTCCCTCAGATGCCATCATGACCAACTCGTTATAGATATTAATCAGTTAGAACAAAAACCTTTGATTATTGCGCTATGCGAAACCTGGCTGTGTGATAATGATTATCTGAATCTCTATCATCTTGATGGCTACCATCCCTTCGTTTCTAAACACCGGAAATATCAGCGAGGCGGGGGATGTGCGTTTTATGTGCGCGATGATGTGAATTTTCAGTTAAACAATATAGAGGTTCATTTCGAATGCATCAACATATCTATCGTATATAAATCAGTCAAAACTAATATTTCCGTTGTCTATAAACCCCCACAGAGCAAAAATGAGGTTTTTTTGAATTACTTTGAGAATTACTTTCTGTACTTAAATGCTTTGAAAACTAATTTTCTTGTTTGTGGAGATTTTAATATCGATACTTTAGATTGCAAGCCAATTTCCAATTCTTATGTTAATCTAATTAAGAGCTGTGGTGCGCATATTTTGAATAGAGATCCAACTCGCATTACTCCAACATCGAGTAAATGTATTGATCATTTAATTGCTAATTTTGACGCCAACGTAAAAACACTGGATTCAACTACTTCTGATCATTTTCCCGTAATTGTATCTGGTTACGTGAATGTTGATCCGCAAGAAAATCAAGATTACTGCTATAGAAATCTTAAAAATTTTTACCGTGACGATACATTTAAAAATATTTATTCCTCTTAGAAAACAAATTGTCAAAATTTTATGGGCTTAGTGATCCCAATGAGAAATTATGTCTGTTAGTTGAATCCATAGTTTCATCAATTGATGGTTTTGCTCCCTTAGAAAAATCGAAATCACAAAAACAGTCATGGGTTACCGATTCAACCAAAAAAATCCTCAAAAACCGCAATCGGCTTTTCAGTAAGTGGGTACAAAATCCTACTGAATTGAATAAACTGAAATATTCTCAAGCTAGAAATTTAGCAACCAAGTTAATAAGAAATGAAAAAAGAGTGTATTACGACAAAAAAGTTGGAAATGGTAGAAATTCGAAAACGCTGTTCCAGGCCTTTAATGAATTTTGCAAAGGAAACTGCAAAAACACGAGTTTTTTGGCTGCTGATGTTTTATATGAATTTTTTGCCTCAAATGGCGAGAAACTGAGAAATCTTGAATTCGATTACAAACAAGCGTTGGGTCATGTAGATCGCATCGAAAAATCAATGGTGTTTTATGAAATTACCCGCAAGGAAATTGAAAATGCCATATATAAGTTGAAAAACAAAGGTTCAAATGGTCATGATGGCATAAATAACAAAATTATAAAATTATCGCAGCCTGTAATTTCTGTAAGAATTTGCAGCCTTTTCAAACAATGCGTTAAGAGTGGTTATTTTCCTCAAGGCTTAAAAGTTGCAAAAGTTATTCCCCTTTTTAAGGGAGGTTTAAAAGATTCTTTGGAAAATTATAGACCTATTAGTTTACTAAGTTCACTCAGCAAAATTTTTGAAAGGATAATATTCAATAGAATGTATAACTTTGCTAATAAGCAGAAGATTCTTTATGAAAAACAATTTGGATTTCAAAAGAAAAAGTCATGCGTGGACGCATTAATCGAATTCACCGAATTTATTAGAGAGGGATGGGACAAAAAATTGGTTGGTCAATCATGCCTTGTTGATCTCAAAAAAGCATTTGATACCATAAATCATGATCTTCTTTTGGCAAAATTGGAAAAATACGGATTTAGAGGCCGGATTCTTTGTCTTGTAAACAATTACTTTACAAACCGATTTCAATTTGTTCAATCTAGTCGCTCGATGTCATGTGGAGTACCGCAAGGGTCAGTTTTAGGTCCGTTTTTTTTTAATATATATAAATGATCTTCCGAAAATTGCTGAAGGATCTGAGGTTGTTCTATTCGCTGATGATACTACAATATGCAATGCAGAAAAAAATTGTTGCGATAGTTTTGATAGCTCGTTAAGTAAAATGGATAGATGGTTCAAAACGAATGGACTTTGTGTCAATCCTGGTAAAACTCAAATAATGAATTTTGGTAATAACTTTTCAAAAGATTACTTTGCTTTTGGTACTACAGTTCAAATTACAAATGTGTGTAAATATTTAGGCATTTTTGTTGATAAGAAACCTACTTTCAAATTTCACATTGAACATGTGTGCAAAAAATTAATTAAATTTTGTGGCATTGTCTGGAAAGCTAGGTATATTTTTTCTAAACAGCAGATGCTTCGCTTCTACAAAGCATATGTAAATCCTACAATCACTTATGGAATTTTAATATACGGCAATACATACCAATCTCACCTTACCGAGATAATGAAACTACAAAAAAGAATCTTGAGAGAAATTTTTTTCAAACGTAGATATGCATCAATAGAGGAAATTATGGACGAAAACAAATTGCTTACTGTTTTTGATTTATACTTTTTTGAGATGTTAAGGTACTTGTTTATGGAATTGCGATCGGGTAAAAAAAATAGTTTTCTGTCTCAGATTTACTCCCAAAAAAGTGGACCATGTACCAGGAGCAAAGCGAAAGGCGTAATTAAAGTGGCAAAAAATTTTCTACTACCGCTAAACAGAGATCGCTTACAGTAAGAATTGTGCAGGCTTTTAACTATTTAAAACAAAATGACTTGATACCTGTTAATATACATGAAATGTCAGAAGTTAGTTGTTTGAGACTCTATAAACAGTTTTTTCAAATTTAGTATAAAGACAATCAGGACCTCTACAAACTGTTTTTAGTTTCAGCCCTTAATTTAATTTGTTTGTTGAGTTGATGCTGGCTGTCTTCTCTTTACTCTCCAGGATATCCTACTCGATGAGCAGTACTGCTCTTTAGGATCTCCCTCCAGGCATAATATATTGCTTTTGGCGTTGTATATGTAGCTGGTAAAGTAATTCAAATTTCAAAGCTGCTTGTTTTTTTTTGCCGGGCGCTCTCCTTTCGAATTTCATGGTTCCAGCTCGAATAGAACTTCCGAAAAATTTCAGGTTGATCGAAAAAACTGGATGACGAAAAATTTGTACCAAAAAACTGAACCCTTTGGGTAATCAGAAGAAATAAGCAGCCCCTGATTTCAATCCTATTTAACGCTCGGCTGGTAGAAATAAGCGTTATTTTACTCGGATGAGCACTTCAATTTTAAGTATGAAAAATCACTTGAAGCGGATAAGTTTGGGATCAAGTTAACATCCTCTTCCTCCCCCCCCCCCCCCCCCCCCCAACGGCGCTGGGCGGGGGGGGGGGGAGGAGGATGTTAACTTGGTCCGAAGTTTGTACAGTTGATCCCAAGACTCCTAAAAATAATTGAAAACCAGTATTTTTTACCTTAGTCCTGGCGGCAACTGAGGCTTTGAACTTGTCCACCAGCAGTTCCACAATTGAAGTGTGACCTCTCTCGGCCGCTATGTGCAGTGGGGACCTGTCCAGCTGGAAAGCAAAAACGTTCAATTTTAAACTAACTGCTGATCTGAATCCATGTTTTTTGCGATAGGATGAGGGAGTTTTTTTGCGACTGGGTTTGCATACTATTTTAAGTTTGTGTAATTGAAATACTAAATTTTTAGCTGAAAATTGAGACTTAAAGGTTCCTATTTTGAGGCATGTTTTAGAGGGTTTTAATCGAAAAATTGCATTTGACTGTAGAACTTCTACACTTTCTTTCATCAAAAATAACTACAACTTCCTATTATATTTAACTTCTTTCAAAAGCCAACAGTTAGTTCCGGCTTAGTTCTCAGAAAAACACTAGACGGTCAATGGGCTATAGTTTAAAGTCAAGAGTTTCAGATGAAGGGACTGTTCTGACCATGTCTGATAGGTTTGGATTGGCCTTCATGATGTAGAAGTATTTCACAGCCACTTCGTCTCCCTCCCACGCTGAGATGTGTAAGGGCACGTGACCTTCAAACTAAAACAGAAACAGGAACAATTATTTTTTTACAGAACAATGAGCTGAGTTGAGAAACCAAGTAGGCGAGTTTCCATAACAGCTAATTTCTAAAAATTGCTAATCTTTGACGGATGTTGGTTAGGTCATTAAATTACGCATAACTAAGATATCACACTCGCGAGCTCAGCTTACATTGTGGTCACGCTTACAAACTTCACTGCAGCTTATTTTAAACAAAAATCATTGCGAAACTAACACGATTTACCCATTAATACTCTCGTTCCATTATGATTAGAAATGAACTCTCTTAATTGATAAATTTTGATGTCTTACATTCTGTATGTCGACACTCTTTGTGTACTCGCAGAACAGTCTGATCAGCTCAATGTCCTTCTTTCTACACGCCAAGTGCAGCACAGTATCCCCAGTGTCCTACATTTAAAGAAGAACCATTATTGTTCCGACTTTCGATACGAAAGTAACGGAATATTTGTGCTCGGGGTGGGTTTTTTTTTCTTCAGACAAATTTCGACTTTTTAACTAGCCATTTTTGACGGAATTTTTTTATATCATTCAAAAGGTATTGTTGTCCTGAGCTCAAATTTGAAAAGATATTTCACCTGTGATCATTTTTCGTAAAGTTATGAGGGTTTAAAGTTTGCTATTTTGGCCATTTTGACCAATTTGGGACAATTAACGCGCGATGTAATTCGCGCTATTAACGCGTAAGCGGAGATTTAATCCGTCTTATAAATCGTTCCAAATTGGTTGAATGAAGCTTATTTGCCATAATTGATTTGTTACTAGGAGCGAAATCTATTCTTTTGTACTGTATATGGCGTGTGGGGGGATGATTTTCATAAAAAATTTCAAATTTTAGAAGAAAAAAAATTTCGTTTTATTTTATTTCAATTAATTTTTTTTTATGTTATTACTGCTGCTCCATAAACCTTAAAAGGCAGTCGGAACATTCAGGGCTTCGCCCTGATACGAGCAGTCTTGTTCATATTTTTTTTCTATTAGGATACAGAACGTTACGAGGCCAAACTGTGTATTCTGTGAATTGTACGCAGATTTCGCAACAGGCCGAACACAGGTTTGTCGCGAAATCCGCAGCATTGCTAGTTTTTTACAATTGCTAGTATTTTTCCACAAACAAATAACTAAAACACTGTATTGCTCAACATTGCTCCAGAAACAATTGCGGAATCCGCAATAAAATTTGCGGAATCCGGAAAAGTTTAAAGAAGTCACAAACAAGAAATTACAAAAATAGTTATATAGAGTTATAACATAAAGTGACGCTGTCGCGGAATCAGCAACTGTAAATAGATTCCTCAAATATGTGAGCGGAAACCGCAAATGTTTGTGGAAACCCGAACAACTAGCTATCTATGCTTGCTGCGGAAGCCGCGATAAAAACTAATAAGCCGATAAAACGTATGTTACCTGTAAACGAGCACGGAATCATTTACATTTTGGAACAAATCTAAAAGTTTGTCTCTGAATTTCAGTAACCTACGGACACCAAACTGTGCGCCTATTTAGTGCACATTAGTATGGCCTCGTAATGAAATCACTTTGAAAACTTGTTTTTATAAATATGCTAGGATCGTGAAAATTTTTTTCACACAAAATAACAACAAGGATAGACGGTTGCTGTGCGCGGAAAAAGACTGTGCGTGGAGAAAATTCAGAAAAAAACTACAAAAAATTTTTTTCTCCAGATTAATGTCGTTTTTCGAGCGAAGTCTCATGAGAGAATTATATCAACGTGCAGAAACTTAGTGAAATAGGCATAATCGACAACAGTAGTTTTCAAAAAACAATAATATACAAAGACATTTCCCTAAATGCCCGATTTCCATATAATGAACGTAAGAATTTAGACTCAAACTCAAAAAATGTAAGTCCGTTTTTTCGACACTAAGACACCTATCTGAAGCTTTTTACTGTTGTTCGAAGCACAAATGAAAAATTTTTATTTGCTAGAAGAGTCGACCCATTTCGATTATAACTTTTGGTACCTGAACATGCGTGAAAAAAAACTAAAACACAGCAAAATACAAAGCTTCTTCCCATTTTCCATTGCCGTTCTCAAAAGTGTTCTCAATTATGGCTTGCTCAGAAATACAGTATACTTTTTTATTCAGCAGACATCGAAAACTGCAGAAGACTTCACTAGAAAACAAAAAACGTCAACAAAAAGGAAGAAAAAGTTTGAGTAATTTTTCGCAAGAATTTCGACAAAAAGTCAAGCAGCAATTATTTAGCAAAAACAAGCAATTTGCATACACAAAACTTTATTTTTTTTTTGAAATTTAAACTGAAAGTAAAATAACGGAAAACTCTTAAGTTTGTAATGTGTCCACTTTAAAAAAAAACGATTAATTTTTTTTGATTTTTAGTCTACTTTTGAGCGAGTAAAGTCTTATTTATGCTTAATTTAAGACGTGAAAACTTTTTTTTTGCCCAAATTAAATTAAATTTTGAAGTCTTCAGCGCCCTTTTTGAATCAAAAATTTGAAAAATTCTAAAATTTTCTGCAAAAAAGTTGAAATAGTTTTAGTTTTCAATTTTTTTGAAATTTTTTATGATTCGATTTCGTTTTTCTAGTAATTTTTCTTCAAAAACTGTTGCCCAGCTTGTTTATTTTACTATGACTGTCAAATGTACCTATACTCTAGTTTTTTGGCTTTTTTATTCAGCTCTTTTTTTCATATCACGACGAAAAAAAAACCACAATAATTTGGAAAACGTTGCTGTATTTTTTTAAGAATCACGACGAAAAAAAACCACAATAATTTGGAAAACGTTTCCGTATTTTTTTTAAGACTATGGTCGGAAAATTCTGTGCTACTTGCAAATGTAACCGGCGATCCTTGTTCCAATTGGTTTTTGCTTCAGACAAAATTTTGAAAAATAATTTTTTGTTGACCCACCCTTGACCCGCCCTTTACTACGTACCCACGTTTAATGACTGGCTCGAAGTGTAATGTTTTAAACATTGATTTCAACCCTTTTTGTTCCGACGACTTTTTGGATTTTTTTATCACGCAGAATCCTAAAAACTGCTAATAGGTCATCTGATTAGGTAACATGTCAAAGCTCATTCAGTGGTCAGTCAGATTTTTAATCTTATAAAGTTTTGAACGAGTTTTTGCTATTCGGTCTTGACTTTAGCAAAAGGCGAATGAAACTGACTGTATTTACAGGACCGTCTCTTCTTAGTTTTCATCTAAAATTGCTTAACCTATTGTAAAAACATACTATAACATGCGAAGTAAATAATTCCAAACAAATCAAAAAATTGTCAAGTTTTTTTTTCGCTTTTTCTGTTTTTTTTTCTATTTGTATCAATAGCAGGTTGGGGCTATCTGTGCTACCGGCATAGTAACCCCGGCTACTTTTTTTTAAAATTTATTTTACTCCAAAACGTTTTGTCTGCGCAGCATTAAGTTCCTCTTCTAATTTTCTTTTTTAATTTACAGATGACTTTACTTATTGCACATCTCACTGACCTTCCTCTGAGTCTTGACCTGTTCGTCCCCGTGGTAGGCGAGGAGTTCCCTACATACAGCCGCGTTGCCCACCTCCGCCGCCTGCATGATCGGAATCAACCCATTCTGGAAAAAAAACATACAAAAAAATTAAGCGAAGTTATCCCGAAATCCAGAAATGTCTCGAAAGCTTTACGAAGAAATTTTCTAATTTTGGTTGGCCTTCAAATTTCCTGGTTCCGTTCAAGCTAAAACTCAATTTGATGGACTTAATAGGTCTGCAACAAAATACCCTTCTTTGTTTCTTTATATCTCGTATCTAATTTTCCTAAGCGACAGCCAAAACTTAGTGTCATCTAAAAAAAACTTAAATCATGAAATCAATGCTCGGGATTTGGCATTTCATTATGGCTCCAAAATCTTAATTGAATTCGTTAAAAACAAACACTATCAATTGATTCACCTTATCTTGAAACAGTCTCCCGTCTTTAGTATCCTTGTCTTTGTCTTTGTCCCTCTCTTTGTCCTTGTCCTTGTCCTTGTCCTTGTCTTTTGAGTGGGTGTGAGTATTGCTGCTGCTGTTCGTCTGATTGGAAATCCACCTGAGAATCAGTCTCACCACCTCCAGTCCTCCTGTGTTCCTCGTGCATGCAAAGTGCAACACACATCTGCCCATGTCCTACACAACAGCAAAATAAGCTTAGAGTAAATTTTTGTTAAATCAACATATTATCAAATTACATTATTCTATCATGATCAATCATTTTTTTTAACACTTAAGACCATTTATCCACGGAAGAAAGGACCAACACAAAAGCTGTACAGCTCATCACGGCGAACAGCTGTTGTGCCCCTGTTTAAAAACTACGTGCAAACTTTTTGGTTATTTTTCTGGGCTGGGTACTGTTGCTTCACCCTCAAGCAACGAGCACGAATCATGGTGGGCCTCGAACATCCGACCTTTCGATTGAGAGGAGGAGACGCAACCACTTCGACACCTACCTGACTCCTACCCAGGGGCGAAAGGTCCTACCCGGGGGGGGGGGAGGGCGGACGCCCCCCCCCCCCCCTCAGGGATTCGACCCCCTGCCGACCCAAAGGGTCCCCCCTTTGATACTTTTTCAGAAATCCATTTTTGGCCGACCGACCCTAAAATTTTTTTAAGGGCGCCTTTGGCGCCAATATATACTAACTTTGAGGGGGAGCGCGCGCCAAAAAAACGCGATTTTTTTTTGTCAAAATTTTTCAAAAATTGCCCGAAAACGGCTTTTCCGACTGTTTTTTCAAAAATTTGCCTGCGGCGCACAAAATTTAGCCAAAGTAGGGGCAAAACAGTGCTTTGGGAGAGCTCGAAAAATCAATTTGGTCGACCTAAAAAAAAAAAGGTCGTCAAAATTTTGGAAAATTTTTTGAAAATCCGCCCCCCCCCCTCGAGAAAATCCTAGATCCGCTCCTGCTCCTACCATTTTGAATCCTACTTGTAGAAACACGAAACGGGGGCGTTCAATAGTGCCGTAGTATAACAGTGCCGAAAAAATTTATTGTTCAACAGGGCCGAAAATCATCAATTTTTGGCTCTGTTGAACACTTTTTTCATTTTCGGCACTGTTGTACTGCCCCAACGAAACTTACTTTTTTTCCGGATTTTTTGGGAAAAGGCGAGTTCTTTGTTTAATTGTTTGTCTTAGGAATTCAACAGCCCACCGCCGAAAGATTGTTTGTTTGGTGCTTTTTTGTTGCGTCAGTTTCTTGGAGATTTTAGAAAACGTTCAGGGGCCAAAATCAGTGCACTTTTTTCAAACACAGTTTCTTACCCCTCCCGGAGTGAGAATGTCTCCCCCTCTGGCCACTGTCTTGTTCAGCACGAACTTCATCAAGTCCACATTGGCAAATGCACCAGCCAGGTGAATTGCCTGTTTCCCATCCTGGAAAGAAACCAGATATTTTTAAAGATTTTTCTCACCCATTAATACCTACTAAAAAATATCCATCCGCCTGTATTATTACAACGCCTATGTATTATGTTTTTGATTTTGTAAGAATTGTGTTAGAGTTATATAAGAATTGTGTATTATGTAAGAATTGTATCATACGATCATCAGCATGCAAAAATTGAACCTTAAATCCTCTCATGCAACAGATGAAGAGATTCATAAGAAGAAATAGTCAAGAAAGTGCTGAATTTTTTTTACTGTTCTTTTCCAATATAGACCCCCCCCCCCCCCCACACACACACACAGTTAGATATTCAACCTCCAGAACACAAAAACGCTGCTATAAGAAAACGGCTCGACTTTGCCTTTTTAGCACGATGGATGTCTATAATAGTACTGCGTTTTTTCGCCATATGATAAATAATCAATGCGAAAGCAACAAAAAAACTTAATTTGGTTAATTGAAAGTAACAGCTTGAAACTTACTTCAAAGATTAAAAGAAACAATTAATCAGACCAGATGATTATGGCGATCGATATAAATTAAGTGTATTTTGATGATAAATAGCTGACGACCTTAGCTATTTATCACCTTGGCTTTGACAGTGAGTGATGCTCCTAGGTCGAACAGTCTCTCAGCGACCACTATTTTGTTGGCGGCTATCGCATGGTACAGAGGAGTCCACCCCTTCTCCTCACTCACACTGTTCACCTACACATCAGAATGACCAACTAGCTTCCCAAGCCCCCAAGCAGTTTAAGTTTGGAAGAAAAAATTGGGGGAAAGAATTTTGTAACTTCCATAGCTGATGACGCTAAATTTTTCTAAAATTGCCTTTGAAGCCAATATATATTTTCTTAGGGGGAGGATATATACAGGCGCAGATCTATGAATTTCTCGAGGGGGGAGGGCGGATTTTCAAAAAAAATTGAAAATTTTGTCGACCTTTTCAGAGCTCTCCTAAAGCACTAAAAAGATGCTGTTTTGGGCACTTTTTTGGAAATTTTTGACAAAAAATGGCGTTTTTTGGCGCGCGCTCCCCTTCAAAGTTAGTATAGATTGGCGCCAAAGGTGCCTCTAAAAAAGTTTTAGGGTCGATAGGCCAAAAAATGATTTCATAAGAAGTACCAAAGCCTCCCAAAACGTGAAGAGGAAAAAGTGACAAATAGAAGAGTGCCGAATCGCTCGTTTTAGTAATAATGTACCTTCTTCACGATGCGTAGTAAGAACAAGGGTTTGCAAATTACGTTCGAATTTTGATAATTTTCTAAATTATCGTCTATTAACTGTATCGAGAAGCGTTCGTGATACCACGTCACCGTCTATTCTTAAGCAATACACCACACACGATAGGGAGACACGCACCTCAGCAATGTCGGCTGGTCTGAATTTGTCCATTTCTCTCAATGTATGCTCTACTATGGCCCAGTCTCCACGCTGCATCAGAGACAGAAGACGCACTGCAAACAAGCGACAAAATCAGAGGGTGTATAGCCAAGTAGCTGAAGCGGATCTTTTCAACTATTCCCCCCTCCCCCTTTTGCAAAAAGGAGGGTCATTACGAGGCCTTGCTGTGTTTTTATGGGCAAATGCGGATTCCATGGTTTAGGCAAATGCGGATTCGACGGGGAGATTTGTTACATTGGTACCAAAGGGGAAGGGGTAGTTAAAGAGATCCGCTGGAGCTCGGTCATGCCATAGATCTAAATTGAGTGATTGACAATACGAGCCAAACTGTGCACTGGATAGGCGCATAATTTGGTGTCTGTATGTTCCTGGATTCCGGAGACAAGTCTTTGAACATGATGGAATCCACTTACAAACTTTTCGTGGATTTCGCGTGTAACGTAACTTTGTCGACACATTTGTTGTGTCGCGGATTCCGCAACCAGCAAATATAGCTACTTGTTCTGGATTCCGCAACTGTAAACGGATTCTGGAAAAGTAAGCGGTTCCGCAAATGTAAGCGGATTCCACAAATATAAGTGGATCGTAGTTTTGTTTTTTATACTGAGCTGAGCTAGTCCTTGCGTGAACAATTAAAAGCTATAGCCACAATTATTATCCAGCAAATGAAGAATTTGAAAGCACTGATTTACCTATCGTTAGTGAAATCCAATAATTAATCTCAAATCATTGTTCAATTAAAGTTTTGAATGTACCCCTTCAGTGTTTAGAAATAATGAACTTTTTTTAATAATTCAACATTATAACACAAGAGTTTACCTCAGTTTGTTTTTATTGTTTAATACTTGAGATGATCGTAAAGGTTTTCATTCTTTCAGAGTTTAATATCGGAAAAATGTTCATTCTTTCAGTATTGGAGATAGGAAAATTGTTCATTGTTTCAGTATTTGAGATCGGAAAAAAGTTCATTCTTTCAGTATTTGAGATTGTAAGGTGATTCCGCAACTAATATTTTTGGAGCGGTTTTAAGTGCTACAGTGTTTTGAACTGTGGATTGCAAAACAGCAAAAAAGATCAAAGAAAAATAGCAATGTTGTGGATTCCGCGACAAATCTGATTGACCTGATGCGAAATCCGTTTCCAATTCACAAAATGCACAGCTTGGCCTTGTATTGGCAACCACTAAAAACAATTAATTTTGAACAAAGTTGCAATAAGGGGGTAACGATGACACCAGTGCTTATAGATTATTCTATCTTCTACTATACTTGAACTGTAAAGATTATTAAGGAGAACTCATGTGCTTTCATCTTTGAGATAAAATTCACTTTTTCTCAATAGTTCTCTTTTTTGTCTTTTAATTTTGCAGACTTTTCATTATCTCTATTTGAACTGTCGCAAAGTCTTCTTGATAAAATTTCTTCCTCAACGTCTCACTTGTAAATTAAGACGGAAACATCGTAATGTTTGATCTCAATGAAAATAAGTATTTTTTCTACTCGAATATAACAAAGCTGATTTTGTATTTTTTCAAATACTTATATAAGACTTCAAGAGCTCAGGTGAACAGAGTCAACAATGTTTTCAATATTTTGAACAATTTTTTTGAAAAGATTACCGTGTGATTTCAGATAGTTGTTTTGAATCGAAGTTGACACGGTCTCAGCAATCACGTTTTAGTAGTTGGAATACAAGAATATAGACAGTTCTGAAACCTAAGAGCCTCAAAAGCAGTCATGATGATTTTGGTTTTTTAAGGCACTGAGGTTTTTTTACCGTATTAATGGCCTTCCTGCTTAACAAATTCCAAAACAGTAAAATTTCCCTCCAAATTTTTTTTTTCACAGAAAGGCACAAAAAGAAAACTTTACATCTGGGATAACTTACTTGCCCGCCAAATGTCAGGAAAGAAATTTTGAAGCTCGATGGAATTATCGATAGATTATCTTGGCTTTTCAATTCCTATAAAACTAGCAAATTAAATTGTATCAATTTTGATTTGGGACCAATTGGGCAATCTCTCCCCCCTAATGACCAATTGAGCTATCACCCCAAACAAAAACGGTCAAAATATCTAAATTACTTTATCAAGCGCAAGCAGATAGTTTATGTGTTCATAGGAAGCAATCAGTTGACCGAAAGAAGTATATTTTATACGAGTGCCAAAAGAAGTGAAAAAGATACAACTTTGTTTTAAAAAAGTTGTTTTCAAGCGAGATTTTGTTTGCGCGACCGTTGCTTCGAGAAAAAAAATTACAAATGTTCGTGCTCTAACTTTGTAGCTGAAGACTGAATAATGTTCTCCTCAGCACGTTAGCTATGTACGCAAGAGCAATTTTGTTCAATAAGACGCATCAGTTTTAGCGATTTTTTTTTGTTCTGAAAGTAGTTTTTGAGTTGTGATATTTTAAGTTCTGATGTTCCACATTCGTTGGAGAACCTGGCTGATAGTTTCATATCATTCAAACTGTTTTCAAGTAGTTAAAGATATGATGCCTCAAGTATGTTGCCTCGTGTGAATGGGGGGGGGGGGATATTGCTTAATTGATCTTTGATTCGCTGCAAAAAAAAACACTTATCTAAACCACCGTTTATCTGGACGAGTTCAAAGTCCAAAATTTATTCTTTCTTGTTTTTTTGGCATCCTCCCTCGACAAAATAACAAAACAAGGAAGTCTCTAATTTGGTTTTAAGACTCTTTTTTTTATGAAATTTTAATATAATTGACAGTTTTTAGACAGACACATCAGCTAAAGCTTAGAGACAAGAAAAGTAGAGAACTAGAAAACTAGAAATTAGATAACTAGAAAACAACCAAATTTTTCAAAAACTGTTTACAAAGTTGACATTTTGTCTGTCTTCAAGTGAACTACCATAAAAAGCTAAACAATGGAATCTATACTGTGGACTTACTGCATCCTTCATTTGTATTCGTCTCAACTCCCGAGTCGGGAGAATGCCTGTTGTTTGCATTATGATTATTGCTGCTGTTGTTTTTGTTGCTGTTGTTGTTGTTGATGATGTTATTGTTTACTACACTTCCCGTGGCCAACCCCACGCCCTTCTGCTGAGCATCGGTATCTCCCCCAACGCCGCCCGAAGGGGCCATGGCTCAAGAATAAAAGAAAAATTTATAAATATAACGCAATCAAAACTTTACTTGATTGTTTTTTTTTTGGTCAATAAGAATTGAGCAACTTACGCAGCCGAAAACAAGAACTTTTCTTTAATCACAAAAATTTCTCTCAAAATCTTAGAAAAAGTCAAGTTTTATAGAAACCGACACAATAACACAAAAATTGTCGATAGCGAAAGTAAAAATACAACAAAGGAAGCATCTTATGGAAACAGATATGTTGTTTACTGTGGTTATTTGTTTTTAACTTCCCTTGGAAATAATAACAAAATGCTATCTGAAATGTGAGTGTCTTGTTGATTCGAATGTACAACTTGGGATTAAGCAGCAGTAACTATTGTGTCTAAGCAGCTTTTCTAGACAGGTGTACCCGTATAGCCAATGTAAATTTCTGTGATGGAGACTTTTTTATGTAGTAGCTGTGCTCAAGCATGAACTAAAAAAAAACATGGAGTGAAAAAAAACTGACAACTGGTTGAGAATGTCTCGACTTCGTTTTCTTGTACAAAAACAACAGAAGACAGCAGGGGCGGATCTAAGATTTTTCTCGAAGGGGTGGGGCGGAGAATTTTGTCGACCTTTTTTTTCAGGTCGACCAAATTGATTTTCTGAGCTCTCCAAAATCAGCTTAAGGGCGCATTTTGACAAAATTTTCTGCGCCGCAGGAAAATTTTTGAAAAACCAGGCCAAAAAAAAGGCGTCTTAGGCTTTTTTGGAAAATTTTTACCCAAAAATTGAGTTTTTCTGCCAGCCCCATCTCAAAATTAGTATATTTTAGCGACAAAGGCGCCTTTAGAAAAATTTTAGAGTCAGTCAGCCGAAAATTGATACCTCAAAATAACACAAAGAGGGACCCTTTGGGTCGGCAGGGGATCAAAACCCTGAGGGGGTGCGTCCGCCCCCCTCCTAAATCCGCTGGTGAGGGACACACTTCTTTAGAGTCGGATGTAGGTTTTTTACGAAGAGGGAGGCGGGATTGAGTTTCAACAGAAAACTTTTTCTGAGGTCCATTAATGCACGTTTTTGAGCTCTTCACTTCCGATGGAAGACGCTATTTAGGCAAAAGTGCCGCATGCAATTCACGCGATCGCAATCATTTGTGCTTTGTGACATTTATGCTTTGTTTTATTGCTGGCCGATAGTGATTTAATTAAAATTAACCCGTAAACCGAAATTTAATTGTTGAAAATCGTTGCAAATTGTTTGAAGCAGGTTATTTGACATAATTGCAATGTTACTAGGAGCGAAATTTATCATTTTGTACACTCAGGGCTTGATACGAGCAGTCTTGTTTCATTTCATTTTCTCTTTTTTTTTTGAAAAACAAGTACTCCTGACATGACACTGATTAATTTGAATGATGTCTTTTTTGGCGAAACTTATGCTTAGAAACCAAATAACCACTTTAGCTTTATAAAATAAAAATAACGCAATAGCTTGATCTTCAGGAGTGATCTTGAAAATGAAAAGTTTTCAAACTATTTTAAAAGTAAAACCTAATTTGACCCCATCAGATGCTTTTTTCCTCGTAGTTGATTTTGTTGTGTTGCTTATACTACACTAACAGAAAAAGGTTTTAAGAAATTTTGCAATTGAAAATTTTTTTCTTTCAAATCCTGAAAAACTAAGATCCCTTTTTAACAAAATTTTAATTGAGATTTGAGTTAAAATAACTTAAAAAATAAATTAATACTCTATTTTTACATATACTATTTAATTTTTACATCAAAATTCAACAAATGATTACTGTAGAAATTTTCCATGAGCAAAAGATGGAAACAAAACCCAGAAAAAACTTGAAGATTCGCAAATGAAAAAAATGGACTCAAAATCCTCATTGCTCTAAAGCTACCCGCATTGGAGTTTGATGAATGAACATCAATTATAATTGAGTTTCACTGTCAGCGTCCACAAACGTGAACAAAAATCTATTATAATCTATTATGCATTATAATATTACCATTTTTCAAGGAAACAAAAATTTTTTTTGATCCATTATAATATTTAATTTTCTATTTTTGTGGACACGAATAAAAAAACTCAGAAAAAAGTCGATTTTTTTTCCAATTTATTGAGAAGCGAACTTCAACGCACATAAAGTTTTTTCTACGTTTTTAAAACTAAAGTTGGTTATTTTTGATTATTTTAAAACTTTGATAATTTTGTTCCTTTTTTATGTTACTCAATAACTGAATTTTGTTCCTTTCAACAATTGCCAGCTTACATCCCCCAATGTTTGCCTCTTGAGGGTTTGATTCATTTGGGGGCAGGATTGGGATTGTTTCAGGTGGGAGATGGCGGGTGTAAGGGTACAAAAGGTGCAATTTGTACCCTTATGCCCGCCATCCCCCACCTGAACCAATCCCGACCCTGCCCCCACCTAAGCAAACAACCTTCCGTCAACTGAATCCCAACTGAACCAACCCCCACCCCACACCCACCCTACCTGAACCGGATCAGAGGGCGGGTTCAGGTGGATGGGGGTTGTTGGTTTAGGTGGGGGTGTGGTTCAGGTGTGGGGGTGCCCCAAAAGGCCAGATGGGGGTGGTGGTTCAGGTGTGGGGGCAAAGGGGCAAAGGGGCAAACGTTGGGATGGGGGTTGTAAAGTAGCAATGGGCCAAACGTTAGGGGGGAGAAGTTAACATTCACTTTGCAAAGATTACGGATTACTCATTTGATAAATACAAAAAATCTTGGAAAATTTTGCACGACGCGAAACAAAAATCATATTAATTTAAATCCATTTTAATAGGATTTTGTATTTATTTTATAATCCATTATAATGAATTTCAAATGAATTATAAGGCATTATTTTTTGCGAGAAGAAATGGATATAAATCCATTTTTTGTACAATTTTGTTGTCTAAGCCTAATATGCGAATCGATTATATTGACAATGTTTTAGACCACAAAAATCCATTATAATCTTTTTTTTTTCACTTTTCTTAGGTGCGTGTAGAATGTCAGAAGCTTCAGAAAATATTTTCAGTAAAGTTTTTTTTGCTTCATTTTATTAATTCTTTTCATTTTACATCTTTTAATAAGACACAAATTAAGAATAAATATATTTTTGGATCAAATCAAGGTCACGGATTTCGGGAGAAGTAGGCAGAAGTACTGGTAACCTAAGACGCTGACAAGGAATAGCTACATAAATCAACTATCAGTCTAGATGCGGACTACAGGCAGTTGGAACCAAGGCAAAATTAACAGTAAAAACCTCCCCGTTTCGTTGGTTATAGAAATTAGTTGTTCTTCTTTTTCTTTATTAGTTCATTCTTTTTTTCTTGGGTTTTTATAGCTTTTTATTTAACTATCAGACGGCAAACTCTGATAAATGTAAGGCGAGGTTTTAGCACTAACTTGAGCTACTATAAAAACCAGACAAGATATATGAACCAGCCCCTGTGTCTCTTAGCAACTTTACTTGAGGCATAATGCGACCAGAAAGAAGCCAAATACTGGCCACCAAATCAAGGTAGTCGGAACCGTAAAGTAATTTAAAAAAGAAAACTTTGTGTTTATCAGACTGCTTTTATTTTTAAAAAAATGGCCAACATGTTGCGGCTGCCCCTAAAAAAGTACAAACAAATTTTAGTAAAGAAAAAGTTGATTTTCACTTTTTTCCAATTGATGTTCCTCCATCACGCAATGTAAACTACCAGGTAATGATACTATTTGCAGTAGGAGACTAAACCGACGCATCAGTGTACCGAACGGATTGGATCAATAAAACAAAAATAGATAGTTTTAGCAACCTGATTATATATTTCAGTGATTTCAATACTTGATTTTGTAGAATACGGCAAGCTTTCTCAAACATCAACGTAATTTTTTTTGTGTAAACTGAATTTTTTTTGTGCTAAGTCTAAATGGAGTCGAAATGAAAAGTCGAAACAGGTCTAGAAGGAGTTTGAAATCAGTCTGAAAAACATGAACCTGAATACTCTGCTTTTTCCGAATTCGGAACAGTTTTTTGAAATGATCCGAGTCTGTTGAGAAATTTCGGCCCATCATTTTTTTGTTGACAATGAAAATTTAAATTGTTAGTTATACGTTTGAGTCTAGAAAGCTAGCCTCAATTTTTGAAGAGTATGTTTTTGCTTTTTCACACATGTTCTTTCACAAGACATGAATGAAAAATGAAATATTAGAACGCATGAATGAAAAACAAAATCATTTGCATAGTTTCGCGCACTTTTCCGGGGTCTTTCAAAATTTTCAGGCATCTTTCACGCAGAAAGAGCAAAAACATACTCTTCAACAGTTAGAACATAGTTGAAGATTGCCTCGGGCAAAAGAGCCGCACTTGGGCATTTCGTGCACTCAGGCCGGGCTCTTTTTCCCTCGGGCATCTTTCAGCTATGTTCTAACTACTACAAAGACATGAAAAAAGCAAAAAAATGAGCACTAACAAAAATCATTTGTTTGACAACAGATGCAACAACTGGATGCACCAAATTGTCACTACAACCTTCACTTCGCTGATGACCAATTCAAATAATATCATAAAAAGTCGCGTATTGTCCAATTTTGGTGCAGAAGATTCCCTACCTATTTAAAAGCATTCTACCAGCCCAAATACACTATCGTCAACGTCATTCATTTGTGAAACAAATGTTCGCTCGAATCCTGAGCTAAATATGATCATAGTCTTTGTTGTAATTCATACTGGGTCAATATAACAACCTCTGCTCCCAATAGATCAAGTCAAGTTCCGCCCTACCATTCTTTGATCTGGACCAAAGTTGAACAAGACTGCTCGTATCAGGGCAAAGCCCTGAATGTTATGACTACTTTTCAAGATCATATAGAGCAGTAATAACATGAAAAAGTTAAATGTAAAAAAATAACTAATTTTTTAAGTTGAGATTTTTTGTGAAAATCATCTCCCCACGCGCCATATAAAGTACAAATTGATAGATTTTGCTCCCACTAACTTGACTTAATTTGGAACGATTTCTAAGACGGATTAAATCTCCGCTTGCGCGTTTCTAGCGCGAAATATATCGCGCGTTATTTGTCCCAAATTGGCCAAAACGGCAATCTTTAAACCCCCATAACTTCACGAAAAATTATACCAGGTGAAATTTAGGCTCAGGACAACAAAACTTTTTGAATGATAAAAAACATCCGTCTAAAAAGGCTGGTCAAAAAGTCGAGATTTTGTCTGAAAAAAATCTAACCCAGCTCAAATATTCCGTTACTTTTGTTAGAAAAGTCGGAACAATTACCTGGCCTTTAAGAAGCTCGTTTATAGTACCTTTTCAGAATCAAGTTAAGTTCATCCTTCCTAAAATTTTCAGGTAGAGAATTTTATTTAGCTTTTCCGATTTTTTAAAAACTGTCAAACTTTGTGGCCACTGTTAGAAGTAGATTAAAGGGGGGATTGATTTGGACGCCATTTTTTTGGATTCGACCCCATTGCCACCAAAAGGTCCAATTTTTGGTTTTTTTCTTTCAATTTTTGTAGCTGGATGCCGATTTTAGGAGCGAGTTCCACATCTTAAGGAATATGTGGCGCTTGCCCTCTATAGCACAATGCCAGCAGTATTCAGCGATGCCTTGAAAATTGTCACAAATTGACAATGCCAGTCGTGTACGTACTACTCCGAATTGGATTAGCCTTCCAGTAATAGTTTGCACTGCCGAACGCTTCTTCTCCAGTATGAACTGTTGAAAAACTAGCTTCGATCTGATATGAAGGAAAATCGCTTAACGAGTTTATTTTTTTTTACATTCATAAAGAAGTGAAAATGAACGTTCAGTGTCACATAGGCAGATTTTGCGCCAAACATTGCTAACTCAATATTGTATAAACTAGACTAATTTTTGCTCGATATTGCATTCAATTTTAACAATTCTTTTTTTCTAATTCTGCCACCCCCCGGAAAAATACGTAGAAACTCGCGTCACTGAAACAGACAAGAAGACGAAAAAGATGCTAGATCCGAAACTGCATAAGATAACAAGACAATATATAAACGTTTTTCAGCTTATGGATTTTAGCAATCAATTTTTTTCATTTCATTTTCAGGTTCAATACAGGTTATTACTTTTGCGGTTTTCACTTTGTACGTACTTTACATTGCGTATGGGGTGGAAAATAACTGAAATTTTTTTGACAATTTCATCAATTAATGTATTATAAATTACTCCATATAATTCAAATCGCAGTCGGAACATTCACAACTTCGCCCTGATTCGAGCAGTCCTATTCTTTATTGAGATCAACCATAAAATTCCCCTCCCCCAAATGTACGTACGTTCGTTCAAAACTAACCGTATTAATAAATACAATTGAATTGAAACGTTAATTTGAGTAACTAACAGCATATAAGTAATGCAATCCCGCAGAAAAATCCAATACAATCTCTAATTTTGCCATGATAATCAATTATATAGACAACAGTTTGGTCGATCACCTTGCAGTACTTAGACAACCACGTATTCATACTCGTCAGTAAGCAGACAAACATTATATTAACCAATCAGAATTGAGACAAGGAAGAAATGGATCATTAAAAATTATTTGTATCAAATACAGTAGCAACTACAGTAAATTTGCTTTCTTATCTCGATTTTGATTGGGTAATGTTGCATTTGTCTGCTTACTGACGAGTATGAATACGCAGTTGTTTCAACACATACAACTCCACTGTAGTATAATTAATTTTTAATAAAAAACAACTGTGGTGCGGGCGATAGATTTGAATTTAAAACAATTGAATTAACGCAACGAACTGAAAGTAAGCTCGTTTTGATTATGATATGCTTCAAGTTCAAAATGCAACTTTAAACTAAATATAAAACGCGTTCTAACACTGCCAATTTTCTTTACAATATTTTGTGCCCTTTGTTTTATATACGTCATTTATTACGATCGCTTTCGTGCTTAGTTAGAGCATTTAAGCGCAGAGAAAAAAAAGTTGTAGCTAAAATTAACTAAATAGTTTTCAAAAAATGTAATTTTTATTGCAAGTTTAAGCTCGTTTGGATTATGCTATATTTAAAGTTCAAAATGCAAGTTTAAAGTGAATATAAAAAGCGTTCTAAAACAACCATTTTTCATAACAATATTTTTGTGGTTTTCTTATATATACGTCATGTATTATGATCGCTTTCGTGCTTAGTTACAGCATTTAGGCGCAGAGAAAAACATAAAAGTTATAGCTGAAATTAAATAATTAATTCAAAGTAAAGGTAATTATAATTAGCACGGAAAAATGGCTGGAAGCAGAAACTGTAAACTTGGCTTCTTTCTTGGATATGCATTTTCATGCATGTTATTTTTGTGTTATCTCTCGACAACCACAGAAAACAACTACCAAAAACTGGTTAGTTCTATTCAAGTTGTTAGTCGCATATAGAGACATACTTTTCGAAGCTCCCACAAAATTGAGGCTATCGACCATTTTACCTTGGAAAATTGCGCCGATCACGGCTTCCATTTTGATTATTTTTTTTTCATCAGCCACAGCAACTTATTTTTATATTTGGTAGATTTTTTTGCACTTGCAGCAAAAAATTCTGAATCTCTAAGACCCAACAATAAACATTTTCAAAGGCTTATTGTAAAAATTTTTTCACTCTGACCTTTGTAAACTTTGCTAAATGTTGAATTTAATCAATCGGCTAAAATTAAATATCACGGTCTAGCCGAAATTCAGGGCAAACTATTTAACAGAAAATTTCCGAAACCTTTGTTATAGAACAAATTTGTTTAATTAACAAATTAAAAAAACAGATGGATGTATTTTGTAACGTTGTGTTTGAATTTATTACAGTTTTTATTGTTAAAAAAATTAGTTTTTTTCCTCGCAAAATTGAGTACCATAAATCAACGTCTGATTGGTTTGAGTTTATTACCATAATGAAAATCTTTTATTTGTGATACGATTGAAAATAAGTTATATTTTTCATTCAAAAATTTAAACAAAGGTTTCAATATAGATACCTGTTTATGTTTGTTTTCATGTTTTTTTCCGACCATTTTCAAAATGAGGAGGAACTTAGTATTCTTGCGTTTTAGTTGTTTTTCAAGGCAAAATCAGTTACCACAACTTATCATTGGAATGGGCCAAGAGATATATCATAAAAAACCCTTCTAATTGAGATTCGAACGACATTTTAAAATTTTGAAAAAGTTTTGCAGTGTTGAGAAAATCAGTTTAATTTCAAGCTAAAAACGTGGGCTTGCAGGTTTATAATAGCTTATTTAAGCTTATAATACGCCGTGAAAACTTAGTTTTATTGGAGTAACTTAGTTTTTGGAGTTTGTTATCGCCATTCTGCGAATCAAAACTTCAAAGTTCAAAAAAATGTTCAAAAATAACTTGGAGAAAACTGAACTATTTGTACAATTTTTTTTTCGTTTTTCTTGCCATTTTTCTACAAAAACTGCTTAAAATTGCTTGATTAACTAGGACTGTCGCTTCTGCCTTTTTTCTTTGTTGATCTTGAGGTTTTTTATCACACCACACAGAAAACACCACCTTAATTTTAAAAAAATCGTATTTTTTAAGGCAATAGTAGGAACATTCTGTGGTACTTGCACAGTAACCGGCTATCCTTGTTTTTAGTTGTAATTTGTCACTCTAAAATTGAAAAACTATTTGCAATTTTCAAGTGTCTGTCAAATTTTAATATTGATTTCTAGTGCCAGATGTATGAAAAAGAAGAGTCATTGAAGAATGGTGAGAGATGTTATATCAAAAAACCAGAACTTGGTTTTTGTTCTAAGATATAAAATGTAAGCTTCTTAGAAACGTCGAATAAATCTACTGAGAAAAAAAATTAGTTACATCGAAAAACAAAATTGATTTATACAAAACGAAAATTTTGCTAAACTTCATGAAAAAATCAAAGCTAACCTAACCAGTACCTTTCAGAAGTAGTCCCAAAAAGACAGAATAACGAGTCGACATGAAACATAAAAACAGCCTTAAAAACGAAATCACTGAGACAAAAAATGTATCAAAAAATTTACAATCTATTAGGAAAAGCAAGACAAAAGTTAAATATGGGTAGTATCAAATAATTGGTGTCCAAAATAAATGAGCTTCCGACAAAACAATTTCACATGAGGCAAATAAAGTATGACAGAACTTTTATCTGGTCGCATGATGAGCTTCCAAAGAGGATTTGAAAATGCTCTACGTTTTTAAGCATTGTTGGAAAAGAACTAATTCAGAGTTATAACAATTCTTGAAAGCATTTTTGACTGTAGTTTTTAGAAAGCTAACAACCAATGTTTCCAGACACACAGTTTGCGCCGTTTAATAATTTTTTCTGGTTCTAATTATCATAAACGAATACAGTTTCTAATGCTGTGGTCTTAGATTGCCTCCAATTGGTCACATCGTTTTACTTTTGTTAAATTAGTGTTTAGTTACAAGGCTAGAGAAAAAGAAACCCAAAAAAATTTTGGACCGAACTCCTTCGTCAACAGAAAATGGAGTCTTGATATCAGAAATGATTCCTACCCAAGAAGTTGAAACACTTGATACCAAAATTTCCTTAATTTGTTTCCAACAGGATCCTCAATTGAACGAAACGCAATAAACATTCTTCGTCCTGCGCAACATTTTTGATACACACTCTTATCTTTTTGTTGGTTTTTGAGGAGATGTTTTTAAAATTATTACTTCCTAACACTCAAAAAGAAAATTTTGTGAGATTTACAGTTTCTTTTGTGAGATTACAGATTCATCTTGGCGTTTTCAAAAGATAGAAATTCACTGTTTGCGAACTGGCTCCGTAAAATGTTTTGAATCAGACAAAAATTGATGAATAATTCCGTAGAGTTGTTTGAACTCAGGCTGTTACCGAGGAAACAATAGCAAGGTTTGAAATGAAAATTCTTCAAATTACTGGAAAAAAAATGTTTTGTAAATTGTTTAAAATTGTTTCTATAGGTTTATCAACATGCTCGTTGACCGGCATGTCGATATGCAGATATGCATGTCAAACGGTTTTCCAAAAGTTCTTTTTTCATCTACTTTTTAGCGGCCTTTTGCTTGACAGATCCTGAGTTTTTTTTAGGCATATATTCTATCATGCACACTATTTTAACACTTAAAAAGAAAATTTTGTGAGATTTACAGTTTCTTTTGTGAGATTTCAGATTCATCTTGGCGTTTCAAAAGATAGAAATTCACTGTTTGCGAACTGGATCCGTAAAATGTCTTGAATTTGACAAAAATTGATGAATAATTCCGTAGAGTTGTTTGAACTCAGGCTGTTACCGAGGAAACAATGGCAAAGTTTGAAATGAAAATTCTTCAAATTATTGGAAAAAAAATGTTCTGTAAATTGTTTAAAATTGTTTCTATAGGTTTATCAACATGCTCGTTGACCGGCATGTCGATATGCCGATATGCATGTCAAACGGTTTTCCAAAAGTTCTTTTTTCATCTACTTTTTAGCGGCCTTTTGCTTGACAGATCCTGAGTTTTTTTTAGGCATATATTCTATCATGCACACTATTTTAACACTTAAAAAGAAAATTTTGTGAGATTTACAGTTTCTTTTGTGAGATTTCAGATTCATCTTGGCGTTTTCAAAAGATAGAAATTCACTGTTTGCGAACTGGCTCCGTAAAATGTCTTGAATCAGACAAAAATTGATGAATAATTCCGTAGAGTTGTTTGAACTCAGGCTGTTACCGAGGAAACAATAGCAAAGTTTGAAATGAAAATTCTTCAATTTATTGGAAAAAAAATGTTCTGTAAATTGTTTAAAATTGTTTCTATAGGTTTATCAACATGCTCGTATGCATCCTGGTTTGAACCTGGAGATCTACTTAACGTTTTTCGATAAATCTAATTTAAAACTGTTTTTGTTATTTGAAAGGTATTAGCTCATTTCCTGCATACCAAACGGTTTTCCAAAAGTTCTTTTTCAGCTACTTTTCAGCGGCCTTTTGCTTGACAGATCCTGAATTTTTTTTGAGGCATATATTCTATCATGCGCACTATTTTAGAGGGGCAGCTCGCGCTAAAAAGTTGCAATCTTTGGTAAAAATCAAAAAAGAAGTTTCCAAAAAGGCAATTTTTGACCTGTTCGTATCAGTTTTTTTAAACGTTTGGCAATTTTTGCGTAAAACTTGAATTGAAAAATCAATTATGTTGTCATAAATTAAAGTCGACAAAAAACGGAAAGTTTCTAAAAAACGCCCCTCCTCCTACAAAAATTTCTGTACAAGTCATCGATTTTACGCAAAACATTTTAAGCAAAAAGAGGATTTAACATGAATGATTTCAAGCTTGATTAACACAATTTGATAAATTCCAGAACAATATTAGGAGTAACGCCAAGTAGATCTCAAAATATCAATTGACCGGTCAACAGCAACCAAGTCTCTGGATATCATCAAGCTCAAAACCACCTCAGAGCTGGCAAAACTGGTTCTATATAACTGCAAATTGACTCAATACTTCAGAGAAAACTTGGGCCAGACAAACGCCACGTTGGACGATAAAGAATTCACAAATGCAGTTGAGAAAATTGCACCGGAAGCAAGAAAGAGGAGACATGGCGTCTACTATCGGAAAGAAAATACGTACGTTACTCAAATCATAACTACATAAAAGATTAGCATTTATAACCAATCTGCTAACAAAAAATCTCAGGTTCGATTGAAAAAATGCCAAAAATGCCAGCGTTTTTGATAAGCTAACTCTTGGTGGAATCAATTAATATCAATTCATTAAGAAAATATTTATGAACAGTGTAATTTGGCCGCATACGCTGCGCATTATTAGAAAATTGGAATTACCGCACAAATTAATTATCCCAAATATTTTAAATTCCTTGTCTTCACGAAAGTTAAGTTGAAGCTGATATAGTTTTCTAACGCTCGAAAAAGGCGCCGAAAAAGGCGCCATTTTTATCGAATGTTGGAACAAATCGCACTTAACAATCAAAAAGGGGAAGAATCGATTTTTGTTCCCATTTTTGAAAGTTAGATCATATCAAACCTTTTTCTACCATGACTCGAGAATCATAAGAAATTTTTGAATGAAATTACTCAGCGTTGGAAAAACCGATTAAAAATTTTTTAGTTTTTGTTCCGACTTTCAGAGCAAGTGAGGAACATATATGCTTAGGTATTGGGTATTAACTCAACCCAATTTTTAAAAAAAAAATCTTTCGATCCTTAATTTTTGTGTTCACAAAAGCGTCACCTTAATTTTTACTGTGTCTGAGAAACGAGTCTAACGAAACTGCTTGTTTTATACTTTGATGCTGAAACTTTAAGGCGCCTTATTTATGCATGGCAAATTATCCCACACTCCAAAATCGTTCCAAATTAAATTGCGGCTACCTCGTTGGTCTTTTTAATTCCATACAATATTTTATCAGCCTATAATTTATAGTTTGTCAATATTTCGATTAGGCAAAAACTATTCGAGACCAGTTAATGGCGGCCGGAACGGAACATTCAGGTCTCTGTCTTGATGTGAGCGGTCTTGTTCTTTTTTAAAATCCCCGCACACACTTTTTTGAATTCAAAGTTACAGATTTCACATATATTTACACAGAATTAGTCCAATTTTTGAGGAAAGTACAATACACATACAATTGAAGCGGCTTTCAAACGATTTTGCATTCAGTTAATTTTCGAAAGCAAATTTTTTTTCAAAAACAAGTGTCGTTGGTTGTGCCTAAATCAATAACGTTTTACGATTTGCATAGTTTTTTCATCGCTCCACGCACAAAAAATGGCAGTATTTCGAAATAAGTAAAACGAAAAAAAAACTTTATTAAGTTTGTCAATAAATGTAGTCAGAACCAGTAGCGGAGATAAGGGTGGGGCTAGGGGAGAGACGAATGTGAGTTCCCGTCAAGGTTTCGACGACCTGTATACCCAAAGGGTCGCCTCTTTGGTTCTATTTTAAGACCTTGATTTTTGGCTGGCTGACTCTCAAGTTTTTCTAAGGGTACCTTTGGCCCGCTAAAAATGTTCTAGTAATAAGCCATGGTAATTTAGTGCATTTGTTTCAGATATTACTCATATTGCTTGAACTTCAAGTGTGCCAGTAATTTTTTACTCTCTCTTCTCAACCAGCCAAATGCAGTTCCCCCGAAAAACTATATTGTCAGTGCCTTCATGGTCATCAGGGAACCCATGCACATACTTCTCTCCGGTAAGAATCATTAACCTAAAATATAAAAATTTCAGCCTCCTTTCTAAACTGAGTTAAGATGTTTTGAACGTTTAGCGCGTCGTTTTTCTTATTTCGCCCAATATTAGAATTCTTAAAATATGAAAAGAGACAACAAACAGTAGCGCGTAGTTCTAGCAACTCGTACAGCTGGAAAAAGATGCGTTGTTATTCTATTTTGAGCGGATTAATTAAAAAGACCCGTTTAGTTAAGTAATGGCTACAGACTGCCAACCGCTCAAGTTCTGAAATTGGTATTTGAATTGGTCTTTTTATATGATTGTTGTTGTCTTTTCTGTTATACGGCCCAAAAAGTATTTTTTTTAAGCAATTTTGAAGATTTGATCATGAAGCTCAAATCTGATTGGTAAAGATTAATAAGAGCAAAAAAAGTTTAAATGTGTTAACTGAAAACAGAAGCTCAATTAACAAATAGGCGCATTTAACAGAAAACATTCGGTTGCTGAATAATTTTGCATGAAGGCTATTACACGGACATTTCATCGCAAAGTCTAAACAAAGTCAAAACCAAAAAAAGTCAGGCTCAACCGTACAATCTCCCCCTAAGTGACCTACTTTAAAATGCCCTACCCAAGCATGCCTTAGTTCTGAAAAAATATTCTGTTTAAAATGAGCCTTTCAGACAAACGCGCAAATAAAATTGAATTTTTCTCAGTAGTAAAGCTGAACTTGTTTTAAGATGCCGAAGACATCGGTCTTCGAATGGTTTACAACAAGAGCTAGCTTTTTTCTGAAAAACACAACGGCAACCAATCAGCCATTTCATTTACGAGCGATGAGTTGTTTTGTCATACAATGAGAATGTTGCAATATTGATATTTCAATCATATAATCTAAATACAAAACTACTCGAATCAGGGTGAAGCCTTAAATAATTCGATTGCATTTTGATTTAAAAAAGATGAAATTTAAAACAAAACGTGGAAATCAAACCTTCACCCGCTGTGTTAAAATTTAGGTGATACTTTTTGTATATAGCAACGTACTAAAAAGACTAAAAAGAGCAGGAGAAGCCTCAATTCATTATGGAACAACTTTTAAGCTGGATTAGATCTCCGATTACGCGTTAATTTCACGATATATATCGCGCGTTTTTTATTTCAAATTGGCCAAATTGCCAATTTTCAAACTATCATAACTTCACAAACAAAAATCACACGTAAAATTTTTTCTAAAATTGGTTTCACGGCAATAATATTTTTTAAATTATATAGAAAAAAACTTCGTCAAAAATTGCTAGCTAAAAATCGAAACTGGTCCCGAACAAAAACTCGAGCACACTAATTGAAAAACTGAAAATGGTCAACAAAAAACCAACCCGAGCAAGAAAGAAACCCGCTAAAACCGGACAGTAAAAAAGATTGCGCAAAAACTCTTCAAACAACTTTTTGCTATCACAAATCAGTTTTTAAATAATTATGTTAGATCAGATCAATTACATCCAAGAACTCAATGTTCGCGTTTATCCCGATCAAAACTGGCTATTTTTATAAATCTCACTAACGGTTTCTTCTCTAAATGGGTCTTCGCATTTTTTATTGGACTAACACTAGACAAATAGTGATGAGAACTAATATTGCTTAGATGCATTTTATTATACAAAATTCGGATGTATTATAGCATAGAAAGGTCTTACATAGAAAGGTCTTACAATGATCGTAGCATGGAATAATTCGGATGTTTAATAGCATAGAAATGTCTTACAAAGATCGTAGCATAAAAATTTTTGATGTATAATAGCATAGAAAGGTCTTACATAGAAAGGTCGTAGCATAGAAAGGTTTAAATTAAAAGTTTAAAATAAGCTCAAATCAAATTTTGGTTATTTATGCAGAAATAATGAAAATTTCCATAATCAAACAATATTTTCATTCATACTAATTTTCAAAAAAATTTCTCTTTTTTTGGGCTACATAATTTGCGCATCATAATTTTTAGTCGAGGCTAAAAAAACTACGCTTTTCAGGGTAAGATTTTATCATAAATTGCGCTCCATTAATTCTAATAAAATAAATTCAATTCTAATCGTTTTTTGTCAAAATGCAGCCCAGTTTGAGAAAAATGCGTTTCAAATGTTCCTTTTCGGTTTTTTTTGTCGGGATAATTTAAATCAGCGCTGTTGATATAAAACAGGCATAAGTCTTGTCATTTTGTCAACAATATAGAGCTCTTTCTTCAACTTGGATCGCAACAGATCAATTTCTTCAAATTGCTTAAAACTGATAAGTCAGAAGAATTGTTTATCTGAGGGATTCGACTCTGTGACCGACCAATGGGTCCATCTTTGGTCTTATTTCACGCCATCCAGTGTTGGCAGACAAACCCTAAAATATATCATAAGGGCGAATCTGGCTCTAATTCATACTAAATAGGAGTGGGAACTGTGAGCCGAAACAACTCTTTTTTTTATTCAAAAATTTTCAAGAAGTTCTTTAAAAACAGCATTTGCTTTGCCTTTTTTTCGAAACATTCACTTAAGATTACCAGATTTGTCTCTCTCTTTTTTTAAAATTCATATAAAATTACCAGATTTGCCTCTCTTTTTAAAAAAAATTCTATTAAGATTACCAGATATGCCTTTTTTTTAAAATTCATTTAAGATTACCAGGTTCACCTTTTTTTTAAATTTATTTCAGATTACCAGATTTACTTTTTTTTAATTTCTTTCAGATTACCGGTTGCATCCCCTCTCGAAAAAATTACTAGTTATGCCTCTCCACGTATATATAATTCAGACGTAAATCTTGATTTTCAGCCTACTTGAATAAGCTGTACATATTCAGAGATCAAAAGCAATTCGATCTCTTCACGCCCTTGGCAGAAAACATTGCAATTTATGTGAAACGCAGTCACAAGACCTCGTCCAATCTCTACACTCAACCACTCACTTCGGCACGTCCCGGAAACATTAGTTTTCCTGACTTCGTCGATTATGTAATCCACATGTATCTTGTGAACAACGGCAAAATTGCTAGTTCTGAAGTTCCGACGGAGGTCAGCTTCAAGGTAAGCTTTTCCGACTTTTTTTGACAACAACGGCGAGGGTTCAGGAATGATAGTGCGCCCTCTCACCACTCCTCAGAAAATGTACCACTCGCAACCCCCAGACCCCCTCGGTGCCCTTATGTTATCTTTTCGCACCAATTTTGGACAAATGAACCTTAAAATTTGTCCACTGGCGTCTAGGGTACTAAAGTTTACAAAACTTTACTAAAGTTTTTACTGCTATTTGACAAAATCATTCAGGTTTATAACCAGAAATTTCAAAAGAAGCCCGAAAAATTCCCAAACCTTTGTTAGTGGCGTTTTTTTTTCTACATAGCTGCTTTCCAGTGTTTCAGCAGACCTTGGAAAATCTATCTAAAAAAGTTGTCTAAACTTTTAAGAGTCAGTGAACGTAATTCAGGTCTTTTCTATAGGTTGTGATGTTTTTCAGGAAACGTCTTAAATTTTTTTTAGGCTCAAGATTACGTTTTCAAAAATACCCACCTCTCGACAAACCAAACGCGCATTGCCAATTTTCACGTCGAGATGCATTTAAATCAAGTTTTATATAAACTAAAAATGGTTTTAATCGATGTATAATGATTGTCAAAATCAGTAAATTTGGTTTGCAAAAACAGTGGATTGCATTAGTTATTAATAAAAAATTATCCTCATATAAACAAAATTGAATAAAATCATTAAATCAAGAGTGCATAGAAATAGTTATCTAGAAACACTAACTCCCTATTTGCTTTATTAAACTTGTTATTCCAAGTGTCAGGCAATTAATATCTCAATTACAGCAGTATTACTAACTTAGATTAGTCAATATTATTAACCAAGAGCACGAATCGATTTTTAAGCAAAAAATGAAAAAAAAATGAATAAATTTTTTTAATTAATGATTTTTTATTAAGTGTCAATGAGCGTAGTGAAAACATTTATATTACTCGTGTTGTTTTCATAATTTAATTTTTTAAATTAATTTTGCTTAAAGGAAGGAAAAGAACGCTCTATTTTCCATAAAAATGTAAATGGCGCAAAAAAAAATTAAAATACTTTTTATTTTAAAATTGAATTCAAAACATGAAATGGTTTTAACAAGTTTTGAGATTTCCCGGCGGAAAAAATCTAGTGATCCAATTTTCCCAAAATCATTTTATCGAAAAATTGTTCCTCATAAACTATTTTATACAATCAAAGAGCTTCAATATGGTATTAAGTTGCTTAAAAACTAGTTGGTATAAAAAGGTATTATTCGGTTCGAAAAAATCAATCATTTTAACCATCTTTGACATTTTTGCAGCTCTTTAGTCATTCTAACTTAGTGGAAAGGCAGTTCATGTTTTAGTTTCGCGTGAAAAGACAGCAATTTAAATTTGAAGATGACCAGATAAAAAGACGAAGGGGTATTTGGGATCAAATGAACGGCCCTAGTCTAAATGGATGTGATAAGTTGGATTTTTTCGCAGAGTGATCTCTTTCAATTAGAGTTCGCAGCTTTTATTTTGATTAAAAATCTCATTCACGTTTTTTTAGGCGACGAGATGGCGTGCTTTGAATAATTTAAATGGTTTAGATTGTTAAATTTGTCTGATAGATTTATTTCAGTTCTTGTATTTGAAAAAACCTCAATTATTGCCTGTGCAATATCAAAGACCAAGAATGTTCATAAACTAGCTGGCTCGAATATTCTTATTGGTACCAAAAAAAAGTACCCAGTTCAAAGGAAAAACAAGACTGCTGAATTTCCGACTGGCTTTTAAGATCTATGGAGCAGTGTTTACATTAAAAAAATTATGAATTTTTACGATCAAAAATGAAGAAAAAAATTTTTTTTTCGAGATTTAAAAATCATCTCCATACTCGCTGTATAAAGTAAACAAGACTGCTCGTATCCCCTCATAAATCGTTCCAAATTGAAAAGAAAATGTTTGGTGTTACTATTGCGCTACTATACGCCGAGAATCAAACTTTATTCAATTGATTTGAAGAAACGGTTTCAAAGAGGTTTAAGGGCAGTCGGAACATTCAGGGCTTTGACCTGATACAAGCAGACTTGTTGTTCCGTTTTCGATACGAAAGTAACGGAATATTTGTGCTCGGGGTGGGTTTTCTTTTCTTCAGACAAATTTCGGTTTTTTAACTAGCCATTTCTGTCGGAATTTTTTTATATCATTCGAAAGCTATTGTTGTCCGGAGCTTAAATTTGAAAAGATATTTCACCGGTGATCATTTTTCATAAAGTTATGAGGGTTTAAAGGTTGTCAATTTGGCCATTTGGGACCATTAAAGCGCAATATATTTCGCGCTATTAACGCGCAAGCGGAGATTTAATCCGTCTTAGAAATTGTTCCAAGTTGGTTGAAAGAAACTTATTTGCCATAATTGATTTGTTGCAAGGCTCGATATCTATTTTTAAAAAATTTTATATGGCGTGTGGGGGGGGGGGGGATGATTTTTATAGAAAATTTTTCAAATTTCAAAAAAAAGTCATTTTATGTTGTTTATGTTATTACTGCTCCATAAACGTTAAAAGGCAGTCGGAACTTTCAGGGCTTCGCCCTGATACGAGCAACCTTGTTTGTTTTTCTATTTTCCTAGCTCCTTCACCGTCTTTACTCTTTACTTAATTAACAAAATCTAGCTGCAAAATCCAAGTCCAATTTTTAGTTCAAATTGTACGAGCAGGGTCAATATTCAACAAAACCTTGTTATTGTTCCGACTTTCGATACGAAAGTAACGGAATATTTGTGCTCGGGGTGGGTTTTTTTTCTTCAGACAATTTTCGACTTTTTAACTAGCCATTTTTGACGGAGTTTTTTTTATATCATTCAAAAGGTATTGTTGTCTTGAGCTTAAATTTGAAAAGATAGCTCACCTGTGATCATTTTTTGTAAAGTTATGAGGGTTTAAAGATTGCCATTTTGACCAATTTGGGACAATTAACGAGCGATACAATTCGAGCTAATAACGCGTAAGCGGAGATTTAATCCGTCTTATAAGTCGTTCCAAATTGGTTGAACGAAGCTTATTTGCCACAATTGAGTTGTTACAAGGAACGAAATCTCTCTTTTTGTACTTAATATGGCGTGTGGGGGGTTGATTTTCATTAAAAATTTCAAATTTTAGAAAAAAAAATTTCATTTTATTTTATTTCATTTAGTTTTTTTATGTTATTACTGCTGCTCCCTAAACCCTAAAAGGCAGTCGGAACATTCAGGGCTTCGCCCTGATACGAGCAGTCTTGTATAGTTTTGTGAAAGAATTTTGAAAATTTATGATCAATTTTTTTGATAGTTTCAGAAACAATCGAACCAAAGACGTGAAAAATTTTGAAGAAAGCAATTAATAATTTTACTTTCTCTTTGTAGTTTCTTACTTTTTAGGACGTGTCCACTTACACAGTTTGGCTACATTGGGGATCACAAGTAGCTGATAGATGCCTAGTCTGCGCGCAAGTCTTTCAAGACGTCATCATGTTTGAGAACTTTGAGCAACACCTAAAACAAGTGCACCGAAAGTATGCTCCAATGCTCTTCAAAAACAAAACACATATTCCCGAGATTATTGAGAGCCAAACGACTTTGGAGTTGCAACGTTTTTACGACCAATTGACCGACTCGCAATTGTCATTTCTAGGCAATGTCATGTATAAATTGGACTACATTATACTGCCTTATAATTGGAACGATTTCTTGCAATCGATCGGACGTGAACAAGTTATGAACTATATCTTTTAAATCATGCGCTGTGATTGAAAGAAGCTGATCAAGAGAACTGATCAACATGTTCTTTTTTCATTTCAGTTTGTAATTTTCATCAACTCGCACCTACCTCATGATTACTCTACTTAAATTCATCAATTCGCCCCTAACTCATTATTACTCTACTTGAATATATCAATTCGCACCTACCTCATGACTTTATCAAGAAATCTTTCTGAATACAATGAACTTCTGATTTGTAATCCAAAGATTTATTCTAAAATCTGTTTTTTATTACAACAAGACTGCTGGCATCAAGTTGAAGCCCCGAATAATGTGAATGCCTTAAAAAGTCTAGGTAGCAGTGTTCGCTTATAACAAAAATATGAAAATTTCAAAAAATAATAAAAGGACAAATTGCACGTCTAGTAACGTACCATTTATAAAAGAAAGCCTGCTTCGGCCAGCTTGGAACATTTGTTTATAAAGCGGATGAAATATTACGAGGCCAAACTGCATTTTGTGCATTGTATGCGGATTCCACAACAGGCCAAAATCAGATTTGTCGCGGAATCCACATCATTGCTACTTTTCTTTGATTTTCTTTGCTGTTATGGATTTCACAAACAAATACTTAAGACACTGTTCTGCTCAAAATTGCTCCAAAAATAGACGAATTTGCGGAATCCGCAACCATATTTGCGGAATCCAAAACAGTTTGAGGAGTCCACAAACAAACAATAAGACATTGTGTATAGTTAAATTGAGCTGTTGCGGAATCCGCAACTGTAAGCGGAATCTGCAAAGTGTAAGTGGAATCCGCAAATTGTAAGTGAAATCCGCATTTTGTTTGCGGATTCTGTTTGCATATATGTATATTTGTATTAGCGTTTAAAATTATATCTTTTAATACATGATTTGATTTCACTAGAATAGAAATTTATTAGATCAGTGTTTGGGATTAATGGAATCCCAATTACTGACCAGTGTTTTGGATTGATGAAATCCCAAATTCTGAATTAATTCGACGATTTTCTATGCGTTGGGTTTCTAATCACTCTCAACCTAATGACTCCAAATAATGAATTTATTCTATACTTATTCCATATTATTCCAGTTTTTGAGATTCCATCAATCCCAAATACTGACCAGTATTTGGGATCGATTGCATCCCAAATACCGACCTAATTTGGCAATATGCTGTGTGTTGTATTTCCATACACTCTCAACCAAATGACTCCAAATTTTGAAATTATTCGGTGTTGTTTCCAAAAAAACTAAAAGATGACATCCACCGATTTAGGTTACCAATGTTTTAAGCCTTGTTCGTGGATTCAGCTGACAATGGTTAAGTCCTTGTTTTAAAATTCCGCATTGCTAGAGATAAGAATTCCAGCTCTAGCTTTTAATTGTTCATATGCAAGTACAGTTTGCGGAATCCGCTTACATTTGCGGATTCCGCTTACATTTTGCGGAATCCACTTACAGTTGCGGAATCCAAAACAACTAGCTATTTTCGCTTGCTGCGGAATCCGCGAGACAACAAATGTGCCGACAAAATTTAAGTTACACTCATATGTACGCGGAATCCACGGAAGTTTTGAAAGTGGAATCCCCTTACATTTTGGAACATGTTTAAAGATTAGTTTTTGGAATCCAGGAACATACAGACACAATATAGTGCACAGTTTGGCCTCGTAATGAACCCGCGCATACGCATTAATCGTGCAAACTTTTTGCGCGTCAATTGTCTAAATAGGCCATATTGGCAAAAATTTAAACCCCCATAAATTTATAAAAAGCAATCACAGATGAAATATCTCTTTAAACTTGCCCTAAAGAGAACAAAAATTTTTGGCTGATATAAGATGTTTTTTAAATATCTTAGTTAAAAAGTAGAAGATTTTCTGGAGAAAAAAAACACCCCGAGCAAAAATATTCCAAAATTTTCAAAAAATATCAAAAACTATCATTATTAAAATTATCAAAAACAATCAAAAATTTTCAAATCGAAATATTGGTATATCAAAATGCGACGAGATACTAATAAATTGCTTATAGCATGGTCTACGTATTATCTAGAATACAACTTAAATGCAAGTGCAAAATCCATTTTAGCTGTTCGAGCGATGTTAAACAACACTGTTTAATCAAGAATTTCAAGAAGAACAAGTTTTTTAAATATTACCAAGCCAAACTGTTTGTTTTGTGAATTGTAAACGGATTCTGCGACAAGCTGAAAACATAAATGTCGGGAAATCCGCAATACGTCTATTTTTATTTTCGCAATTTTCGCAATTTTCGCAAATACCTAAAACATTTCAACGCTCAGAAATGCCCCTAGAAACAGCCAATTTTGCAGAATCCGCAATCAAAACATGCAAACTGCAGAAAAACTAGAAGAATTTTCCAAAGAAAAAATGGTTAAATGATATCGTATAAGAAAGACGAAATATCTTAATTAGAATTCATCTCAATTGCAGAAATAACAATTTATCTCAAATGATGAAATAAACATTGTTTTCCTAAAAACTTAAAGAACATTTAAACCTTCGAGTTTTAAAGTAACCGCTTTTTCTGAAGTAGTGATATAGCGAATTTATCTGCATCACCTACTCAGGTGACAATACAGAAGTATATGTGTGTTTTATGATCCCATAACTATTGAGATGGATATTTGCTTAGATTGCCAACACTTATTACACAGCTTAACAAAATATTTTGAAATTGAAAAATAGGAACATTGAAAGACCTGACTTGATAATTTATGCTAAATACTAGAGGGGTACACTCACAAATTTAATTATTCAATGACCCAAGATTTGCCAGTGAGTTCCGATGACAGTGACAATGGTTGAGTCTTTAGTTTTATGTTTTGTATTTGCTATGTATTCATTATAGCTGTAGCTCTTTAAAGTTTATGCAAGAACTGGGTTAGTTTAGTTTAATAAATAAAACGTTTGAATACCCTTACATTTGCGGAATCTAGTTACAATTTGAGGAATGCGCTTGCCTTTCCGGAATCCAGATTAACCCAGCTATTTTTGCTCATTGCTGAATCCACGACAAAAGTAATTTGCGACAAAGCTTACGATATACTTACATGTGTGCAGATTCCACAAATTTTTTGTTAGAGGAATCCACTCACATTTTCAAACTTGTCCTAAGACTGGTCTCTGGATTACAGTAACCTACAGACGTCAATTTGTTTGCCACTTTTGGCCTCGCAATGAACTAACTAAGTAAAGTTGGCAAGTTTCCAAATTTTAGAGTAAGTTTGAAGTGCAATAACAGTTGCTTATATCAGACAAAAAAAAACAACCTGGAAAGCAAGTGAAGAAAAAGTATGCTGTTTTTGAGGCAAAATGAAACCCCTATCATCCAATTTTTCAAAAAACAAACTTCTAAAATTAAATAAAATCTGCTCGCAGTCGTGATTGAACATAATTTTTAATTAAGAAGTCAGTTCAAATTCTGGTCAACTAATATTTACCAAGCAGTTTGTGTAAAAAGTTTTTAAAAAATAAGACGTAGAAGCTATAAGAAGCAAAAAAAATTGTTAATGATTAAATGTTGTGGTTCCCTATTACCAGTCAGTTTCGATCTCACAAGTGAATTAAGTGAATATACAACTGCTGATGTAAAAACTTCATTTCAAAATATTTTAATTTGATCTTAATTGAAGCCCAAACAACAAACAGGCATAAACGAACAACAAACATTGAATTGAACATAAATCAAAGTCATCCAGCACAAAATTTTAATTATAATTTTTTTCAATCCCCCGCCCACGTATGAAATATTAGTGGTAAGACTTTACTGAAATTTTCTTTTCTTTTTCGAAAATTGGCGTGACAACTACACAAATCCAAGCATAGCTGATGTCCATTCATAACCTAGCATTCATAATCTAGCATTCATAACCAAGCCTTGTCCATTTATAACCTTGTCACACCGCTGGTTACACCATTAAATTGATGTTTGTAAAAATAGGGGCTGGGTGGGATTGAACATTTTTAAATGGAATTATTCATTTATCATTAAACTTTTGTACATAAAGAGTGGCTTGCTTTTTGCATTTAACTACTGTTGTTTACATTCGTATTCTGAATAATAATACAAGAGCATGTTTAGGGAGCAACCAGATTTTTTTCTCGATTCTGCTTTTTTCTACGGTTTTTTTGCCAACGGGTGCCTAAAAGTCTATTTCATTGCACTTTCTGGTCGTCTACTCTAAACTAACACCACAAGCCAAAAAACGCCCGCGAGTTTTCAAAACTTCAAAAGTGAGCAAATTTTTACCACCCCCTTTCTCCTTTTTCACACGCCTCAGAAGATCCTCCACTCGCCATTGAAACATTAATTCATTTGATGATCATTTCTGAAAAATCCTCAAGCAGTCAACTGATAATTTAGCATAATCCTTATAATTTAGCATCATATAAATAGTAATGAAATTATTTCATTTCATTGATGATTTTATTTCACTAAAAAACTTAATTAGATTCAAATATTCTGGAAAATTGCCTCCAAAATGACTATCAAAACTGGACTGATTTTTCTGATCATCTTATTTGATCCGTTTCTGGTTCTCTTCGGAGCAAACTTCTCTTCACCCATTCTTGGCTGGTACTCTTCGTTTTCTGGTTCATCTGTTGTATTTTGCTTTGACTCCTCATCATCTATGAGCTCGAAACGCGGTTCGAATCCCATCGCTATCATCCTTTTAGAAATAAAACTCATATTTTCAGTCTCAGCTTAGTTTTTTCTTTCAAGAAATAAATTCATAATTTTTTAAAATAGAAGTATTGAAAATGTTATACGAAGATATTTCTTCAAAGCATCGGAAAGCTGATTTCAGAGGCATGCACGATAGTTTTTTTTAATAAGTTTAGTTTTCTGCTTAAAAAATTATATCATTGTAATGAATGTTGAAAAAATCGCACCTTTCGAATTTCGAAGAAAAAAATAGATGCCTTTTAAGCTCTTCAAATATCTAGAACAATTTATGATTTGCACTTTTCTGATAGCATTTTTCAACCCAATTTAAGAAAACTGGTTCAAAAGCTAAAATTTTGATTCCCCTGGGATTCTAAAAACTAATTTCCACATTAGAAACTTAAAATCGTTCACATTTTTTGCGCTATTTCCACATTCTTATTTGGAGAGTGCTATTTAGGTAACTCTCAGCGGATGAACTTCATTTGAATGCATATATACCTAAGTGCATTCATAAATGCGTCAATATCTATGAATGCACAACTGTAGTTATT